GCGAAGCACAACGCTGGATCGTGTGGTTGTTTCACGCCGGTTTTCTGTGAGGTCGTGGTATGACTCCGGTCGAGCCGACCCATTTGTGCCGAAAAGCATGGCTCTCCCAAACTTAAAATAATTTCGAATAACAAGTTTGAAACCGACAATCTGACTTTGAGCAAGCGTTGTGCTTAATACTTAAACATTCTCTGACTTAGAGGAGGCCTTTGTTAAGTAGGACGCACTTACACACATACACATCACGCCATTTAGAACGCCTTGATTTTTTTTCAGAGCAATGATTTTCTCTTTAGTAACAATAGCTGTGGCCTCTACATACTATCGGATGCATTTGCCTGCTGAAGACCAGACGTCAAACAGCTTAAGTAAGAGTTTTTATATTACTTTCATTTTCCTTACAAATTTTGAATCAGCTATTTTCTTTAACAACCTCTTTTTATCTCTTTTTAACTTGCAATGTATGTCTACATATTTATATCGTGGATTTAAATTTTAAAACAGATGTCTTCAGCGGAAATTTTCCATACATATTGAATCTGCATTTGCATAAATGCGAAGTTTTGTCTGACTTAACCCAAAATCCAAAAAAAACTCCAAAATAATTTATTTTATTTAATGGGGATAATAATTCAATAATACGGAATGTCTGCATTCTGAAGATTATCGGCACGACTCATAAATATGTACTTATGTCAAAAACAAACCTCCAAAAGTTTTTTTGGAAATGTAAAGATTCCTACCACCATGGTCATGCTTAGCACCTTTAACAGGTCCTCAAATTAAGTATATAATATCCACAACCATATTGCTGCACAGTGAAATGCAACATCTGTCGCAGCATGGAAAATGTTGTTTTTTTCTTAAAAGAGTATAGATCGTATTTTCGACCTAAATATTGAACCAAAGAACTGGGAGACCTCAAGGTCGATATTCGCATATGTTACCATTACGAAAAAGGATACTGATATTTTTAAGATGTTTATGTATGTACCTATATCCAGAATGCGGCTGTTTCAATTAAAAATGAACCTTATATTCCAGTAACAATCATAACAAAATCATTCTGCATGATCAAGAACCGAGAAGACCTACTAAAAGACAATAAGGATGAGATTCACGTGATGAATGGTATTAAGTTCCTAACTGCGGCTAATGTGGTGTCTGTGCATGTACTTTTCTATATGGCATTATCTGGTATAAGTAATGCAAGAGATTATGATATGGTAAGTTTTAATAATAATATACTTTTTTTTATGTCGGCAAACGAGCAGACGTATTACCTGATGGTAAGCAATCAGCGCCGCCCATGAACACTCGCAACGGAGGAGTTACGAGTGCGTTGCCGACCTTTTAGGGATTAAGGATTTGTAGATTTAGGGATTGAGGAGGGATTGGGAAAGAGGAAGGATTGGGCCTCCGATAACCTCACTCACATGGCGAAACACAACGATGTGGTTATTTCACGCCGGTTTTCTGTGAGGCCGTGGTATCACTCCGGTCGAGCCGACCCATTCGTGCGGAAGCATGGCTCTCCCACAATTAAAATTTGCTTAGCACAGTGTCTCTTTTTACTTTAACTTGATTTGGAGTACTGTACTGGATTGAGATAAGCCTTTGGGTAAGAAAGTCAATATATATCTTTTCATTTCTGACAATTTTTAGTCGATCCCTGATAAAATAAATAGTGTACGATTTGGAGAAATACTCAAAAGAACTGCTGTAGTTAAATAAGTTTTTATAACAACTGGAAGTAACTTTATGATCTCCACGTCTCCACCTTGTACCCTTGTAAAAATATATTGAGTCCAGCTATCTTTATATCAGCGAAAATCAATTTGTCTCCTGCGTTATTTTAACCGAGAGAAGTGGAAACTACTTCTCCTATGAGGTGAGGAGGTAATAATACCTCCTAATTTATTTCATTGCTTAATCGAAGAGTTATTTGTCTCTAAAAGGCACCAGTCTTTAGCGTTTCGGTGTTTATTTGGACGATTTACCTCTATAGCCTGGCTTATAGGAGATGCAGGGGCTCAGACATGTTCGTCCTAAAAAAATTAGTACTTAATTCTAGTTTATTAAATTGACGTTTCAAAAAGTCTTGTTACAATTTTCAGGCGATAGAAGGAGAGGGTGGTATTCTTCTTCACATCGATATCATTGTGGATACATTCTTCGCAATATCTGGTCTACTTCATATCAAAGGTCTAATGGGAAGACAGCAAAATCTACTAAGTGTACTTTGGAAACGTTACATAAGGTAAGCGAAAAGACCATAGAAGAACTTTTTTCATACCAGAACCAGACCATAACGTGTCTCTTAAAAGACCACCCCAGATAGAACTGCCAGTGCGAATGCCCACCCGGTTTGCGGGTAAAACTTAATAATGTCCCGCTTCAGAGCTGGAGAAAGAAAGGGATGGTTCTTAGTCAGTAAGAGTCTGACACTCCCTCTCAATCCACCGAAAAATTACAAATTACAAGATTTGCTAATGGAATTGATGAATCACGTTATTATTTATTAAAACTGTCTGGACTTTACAAGAGAAAGACCTCTGAATTTGTTTTGGCGTTTCCTCTCAGAGTAGTCAAGACAGGAAATAAGGCCTTATATATAAGTTTTAATTTCGGCGACAATTACTATTTGTAAGACAAGTTGATTGTGAATATGACATACATACGTTTAACGAGTAAAATGTTCGTTAAAGCAAATCCTTTTTTGGCGGAAGAATATCATCAAATTACTTAATGTCATGGAGGTTGGAGAGCGTGTCGTACTCTTCCAAGTAAAAACGACCCCGTCCTTCTCCTGCTCCAAGTCCAGGCGTAGGTACCTTATTGAGTTTACCCATAACCACGACTAAACATCAGTGCTGTTAAGCCACATCTGTGGTGGTCTTGGCTCTTTGAGGAGCGCGCGGTATGTTAAGCGCCGTACGCCGTTGGCCGAGAGATGATATCCGGCCACCGTAAGCGCGGATCTGCAAACGGCGAGCAAGGGTAGCTCACCGCCCGACCAGAACCAGACCCCAACGTACGGCGCGTAGCGTTCCGCGCGCCTCAAAGAGCCAATAGACCACCACAGATGAGGCCCCATAGGGCTGATGTTCAGCCGGGGTCGCGGGGTAAGCGGAATGAGGCACTGCGACCTCGGCCTACATCAGGAGAAGGAACAGGGGGATTTTAGTCAGTAAGAATCTGACACTCCCTCCCGCCCGGGCGGGAGAAGTAATTTGATGATTTTCCCCTCACAATAAAAAGCGCCGTTGTCCGAAGATCGTCACGCGATCAAACCGTCCAAAATCTAAAATGAGGTATAATTTAAAAAATATGTATTTGTTTCAGACTAATAGGACCATTTGCAGTTATTATTTTCTACTTAATATCCGTGTCTAAGCACACTGCTAGTGGTCCTGGTTGGTATCTGGGCGTCGAAGAAGAAACTAATGTTTGTGCAGAATCCTGGCCGAAGAGCTTGCTCATGATAAATACGGATATAAAATATATTGTAAGTTGAACTCCAACTATGTAGATATTTTTCTTCTATTTTGTGAAAATTGAAAATAAGTAAAGAAAAATAAAATTGAAGTGTATGTTTGAAATAATGAAATAACTGACTTTTAAAATCAAGCATATATTTTACACTTTTAAAAAATTGTGTCTGTCTACCTGATCCGTCTATGTCAATGTTTCAAATGGCTGGACCGATTTTAACAGCAGTTTTATCGGTAGGTAATAAGTGAGCGTACTAAGAAGTGACATAGGCTTCTTTCATTTTAGAAAAAAAATGGCATTTTTTTGCTTATGCATAGTTTAAGTACTATTTAATGGTGTAGGTATATTGTACATATACATTTTTAAATTAGTTAACTTAATGAATAATGAAGTAACAATTTGTTGATCACACAAACAGTTATTCACCGTGTCAACAGAACTGTGCAGTCTAACATTTTGAAGTATTCAATTATCTAATCCTATCTTCATTCTGTAAGGTCTTTTTTTTCTCCTTGCCAGTGCCATGCAGTGACTTGGTACGTGCCCTGTGACTATCAGTTGGCTATCCTGGGCACTCTTCTCTTCTACTTCTACCAGAAGAACAGAAGACTTGGATTTGCAATTTTTGCAGTTGTTGCTGTCTTCTCCATGGTCATTCCTGGAGTACTGACCTACTGGTTCCGACTGCCTGTAGTCCACTTTCTGGATGTTGGGTAAGGAATATTTCATCATCAGCCCATAAGTACTGATTGCACTGCACTGAGTGCACTGCTGAGCAAAGGCCTCTTCTCATACGGAGAAGGTTAGAAGCATTAATCACGACGTTTGCTCAATGCGGGTTGGCGATTTCAAATTTATAATTAGAAAATATCAGTCCAGGTTTCCTCACTATGATTATCTTCACCGTATGTCAGTGGTGTCTAATTAATCGTAGAAAGTAAATATAACTCGGCACACCTCGAACCTACACCCTAATGCATGAGAATTGGGCTCCTTAACCTCCGGGCCATCACGACATATTTAAGGAATATTTGCGATTTATAAATCGACCAAAATACCATCGAATTTTAATTAATAAGGTTAGAGTGAAACCATTTCCAACCATGAATGCCGTGCAACGTGTCGCGGGTTCGATTCCCGCACGGAACAACACTTTGTGTGATCCACAAATTGTTGTTTCGGGTCTGGGTGTCATGTGTATGTGACATTGTATGTTTGTAAACGCACCCACAACACAGGAGAAAATCCTAAAGTGGGGCAAGGTTTTTAAAAAAAAAAATTCCCAAGACACCTTTAACCATAAAAAAAATTATAACAAAAGTGTAAGTATATCAGTCATGATTTTTTTATAACGCCTTTACTTACATTTATTGATTGAGAAAAGCTCTAATACTTTCAACTCTCAGCAAACGTGCGCGTCGCAGCGACTTTCCGCAGCCGACTATTATTCACTATGCAAAAAATTGCTATTTTGATAATTCCAAAGAGGATTTTATGTGGAGTTTATGGCGTTTGGCGTTCCGCGCGCGCTTCAAAGATCATATACACCACCACAGACGGGTCTCATCAAGGCCGATGTGCAGCCGGCGTTGCAGGCCATGCGCAATAAGGAACAAGGGCCTCAGCCAGGAGCAAATCGAACGGGGGTATTCTTACTCAGTAAGAGACTGACACTTCCTCTCGTCATACCTTGGGCGAGAAAAGTCATTAAAGATCATACCTCCTTAAAAACTAAATTCTTTCACAATAGCTTTTCTTTTCAAAATGCGCTTCATAAGTTTGTGGACAATAATATAATATTATAAATAAAATTTGCTTTGTAATTTCCATGATCTTTGACTTATGACTTACCACTTTGGAAATGTGGCGAAAATGTTTTTAATGTTGTAATGAGATTTTTGTTTTTCAGAAAGATCCTACGTGAAATACGTGACGCGTGGGAGGTGACCTACACCTACACTAGTCCTTATAGCCGCGCCAGTGCGTACCTGGTGGGCGGAGCTATGGGATACATCATGGCAATGTACAAACCTGCTGATTACAGAAAAACTGTTTCCACGGTAAGTTTTCTTCTGCAAAGGTCAAAGGGTAACGACGGAGTTTCTTGCTCGTTCTTCTCTATTCGAATCTATATTTTGGAACGAGCATCTAGCTTTGCTGGCGGATTGACTGATGGGTTTTTTAAGGCATGGGTTGGTAAACGAGCTTGCGGATTGCCTGACGATAATTGGTAAGCAATAAGCGCCACCCATGGACACTCATAATACCAAAGGAGTTAAATTAACTAAAAATCGCAGGTTACTCACGTGCATAAATTGAGAAAACCTCTATTATTTTACTACTAGGTGTTACTGACTGTAATAGGCTACGCGACGTTCGCCGCGTCCGCGCACGCTGCCCATGAGCAAGAACCCCTCTGTAGTTCGATACCTACTAGTAGAGCTTTTCTCAATATATACACGTGAGTAACTCTCGATTTTTAGTTAATTTAGTATGTCTTAGGATAGTTATTATAAAAACACACCAAAGGAGTTACTACAAGTGCGTTGCCGATCGCTTGTAGGTTATTAAGGATTTATAGATAGAAGACTTTCGAGTAGTATAGGTAAAAATAAAACTTTGACTAGACCTGACTTGACTCCTTAATTTCCTTCTTTTATTATTGCATGATTCCAAAATCAGACTATGATTTATTAAAAATCTCCAAAAATCCAAATTCTTCTAATTTGTGGAAAAGAACGACTTACTTACGTCAAAGTGCACAATGCTCGTGAATAAGAGTCCCATTAAGACTTGAAATTAATAAGGCTTTACTTATTTAATTCACTAGAGTAAGTCGTAAATTTGGTGTCTCAAGATCAAGATCAAGTGTGGGAGAGCCATGCTTCGGCACGAATGGGTCGGTTCGACCGGAGTCATACCACGGCCTCACAGAAAACCGGCGTGAAATAACCACAGCGTTGTATTTCGACGTGTGAGTGAGGTTACCGGAGGCCCAATCCTTCCCCTCCTCCAATCCCTCCTCAATCCCTAAATCTCCAAATCCCTAATCCCTAAAAGGTCGGCAACGCACTCGTAACTCCTCCGTTGCGAGTGTCCATGGGCGGCGCTGATTGCTTACCATCAGGTAATCCGCCTGCTCATTTGCCGACCTATTACATAAGAAAAAGATTAATAATAATTTTATTCAAAAAGGTCTATCACACACAGTCACAGAAACTCTTCTAAAATCTTTTCAAACATTCACAATACTGCAATTCTTCTTTCCTTTCAGACTTGGTCAATATTTGGTATAGCAACAAGTCTGGGAGCGATGCTAGTCGTGCTATCTCTAGGTTACATCACCAAATATCGAGAGTACTGTCCACTGGAAGCTGCCGTCTTAGTGGCTACAAACAGAATCGTATGGGCTGCAGCCATCTGCTGCATTATAGGCATGTGTGAATATGGAACTGTTCGTAAGTATTCCAGAAACCCTCAAACCCTATTAGAATAGGCAATGTATATCTATGCACGGTTGGCGTGATGGCTGCCACGCATCATGTCCCGGCACGATGACTTTGATACTCGCACGGAACAACTCTTTGTGTGATCCACAAATTATTGTTCCAAGTCTGGTTTGTGATGTGTGTGTGAGATTGTTTATAAACCGAACCAAAACAAGGGAAACCTAGTCTTAGTAACTACCAAAGTTTCTATTTAAAAAAGCAAATCTTTTATGGGAAAGGTCGGGGCAATCGAAGAGATGGATGTGGTAGCAATTGACGTCGCCCATGGACTCCAAAGTACAAATCCGTATCTGGCATTTTTTGGGTTCTTAGGGATTTGAGAAAAGTTGCCAAAGATTGTGTAATCTTATGGTTATAGACCTTAGGGCTGATTTTTCAATAGTCAGATAAATGTCATCTGAGGAATAAAATTATTGCCGTCTCTGTTTTATACAGACATTCTGACGCGACAGCATCATAGTGATTCCGTAGATAACTTTTCGAATCGAATCGAACCATTGAAAAATCAGCCCTTAAGCTCATAAGAGTCCTTACTTATAACTAAATCCCCCTTATTACAAAATAAGGTTTATCTTTAGTCCAAGTTTAAACCATTGAGTCGGGTTTTGAATTTTGAATCTTATTGTCATCTACCTTCAATTCGAAATACGAAAACTGGTTCAATGGTTTAGTCGTAGACTAAAGTAAAACCTTGTTTTTTAATAAGGCCGAACGTGTTTAATTCTATTTCTGTTCTCAGCTATAATTCCCAATATCCTGGGCTGGTCCGTGTTCACGCCTCTCAGTCGACTTTCCTACGGCATTTACATGATCCATCCCATCATCGTGCAGAGGCACAAGTTTGCCCTGCGATCGCCACACAAATTTGATGTTTATGGCCTGGTGAGTATCAGAGACTATTCTTTGGATAACCTTATATTTTTTTATGGGATAGCTCGGCAAGCGAAGCAATACGGATTACCTGATGGTAAGTAACAGGCATCGCCCATGGAAAACCGTAATACCAAAAAAGTTACTACAAGTGCGTTGCTGGTCTTTTGTGGGTTATTAGGGTTTCAAGGTTAGGGGATTGGAGGATTGAGAATGAGGGTGAAGGATTGGGCCTCCGGTAACACGGCAAAACATAACGTAAGTATTGCTTCAAGCCAGTGTTTTGTAAGGCTGTGGTGTCACTCCAGTCGACCCAGCGAGGTATGGCTCTCCCATACTTAAAATCCCACACTTTTAATGGGATAGGCTGGCAAACAAGCAATCTGATGACTGACTTAATGAGTATTCTGCAGTGGATATGGACGCCGATATTCTTCAGGTGTTGCAAGTGCATTGCTGGCCCTTAGGCAGTTAGAGATTTAAAGATGGGGGGTCCTATGGTTGGAGGAAATCGGGCCTACGTTAACCGCAACGAAACAAACGCAATCGTAGTTTTACGCCGATTTTCAGTGGTATCACTACGGTTGAACCGGCCCATTCATCCTAAAGCATGGTCTTTCTTACATTTAACCAAATTAATTAGTAAGGTTAGGTTAGGTTAGTCTTTTAGCTCACGAAAGTCGTTTTTAGTCCTCGTGGCTTCTCCAAAAAAAGGCAGAAGACGGCATAAAAGCTGAGTTTTTTAGTGGGTGCAAGCCCCACATAACCTCACCGTCTCCCCGGGCTGTGTGTGTATGCGTAAGGCATTTTTCTCAGCTGGAAAAAAAACGTCTTTTAGCTATTTTAAAATTGTAGTGGACGTATTGTGAGTATGGTGATGATTATTTTTACTAATTACAACATGTTGGTACTTGATGATTAAATCCATTTTCTTTCAGATTTTAGACACTACGTCGACATTGGTGATATCAATCGTGCTAAGTTACGCGATGTGGCTGTTCGTGGAGGCGCCACTGATCAACATCACAAATCAACTCTTCTTCAACAAGTTTGTTCCCTTTTTTATATATGCCACTAGCGATCCGCCCCGGCTTCGCACGCGTGCAAATCTGATAGTAAATTTCTCCATTTAACGGACCTGCTTATGCATATAAAAATGTCTCCTTCATTACGAGAGGTATTAAAAAAACGGATCAAAACTGTTGCATAGTTTTAAAGTTGAAGAAAGGATCACAGCCTTATTTGTTTTATATTATGTAGTGATGTTCGACTGCACGGTTGGTGCGGTGGCTGGGCAACTGGCTGTCGTGCAACGTGTCGCGGGTCCCGCACGGAACAACACTTTGTGTTATCCACAAATTGTTTTTTCGGGTCTGGGTGTGATGTGTACGAGTATGTGAAATTGAATGTTTGTAACCACATCCACGACACAGGAGAAACTCTTAGTGTGCGGCAACGTTATTTAAAAAAAAGATGTCTCTGAGTACAGTATACTGTGCTTTTTCTTTGTCAATTACTCTTTCTATTAGAACAACGGAGAGAAGCTAAAGCACAAATGGGTCGGCCCATTTTGTACCTAAGCTTGGTTCTCCCACACTTCTCTAAACTATTCTTATATTATTCTGTAGCGACGTTTCAAAAGTACCTGGTCGTTAGGATTTTTATTAACTTTGCTCATCCAAGACACACAGCTCTTTCAAAGAGGCGCCAATTCGTCAAAGTCAAATCGTTTATTTCAAATAGGCACTTTTGAAAGTCGAACCAATATAAACAAATACCAATAATAGCATTTTTTTTAATTGACTTTTCGTTTTTTGTACAGGTCAAAGGACACTAACTCCGTTAAAAGCTCTAGTGAAAATGGAATCCAACACAACAATGGAGTTAGTAAAACTAAAGTTTCATAGCATTTAGTGCATTAAAATAATGTACTTTAAGTATGAAAATTGAATGTAAACATAATTGTAGTCATCAATATAAATACTTTTTGTAACTTTGTGAAATTGTATTATTTTTTCTCTATCACACAGCTTTGTGTTTCGCCGTGTGAGTGAGGTTACCGGAGACCCAATCCCTTCGCTCCCCTATCCCTTCCCAATCCTAAAATATCCGCAACCCTTATCTCTAAAAGGCCGGCAACGTACTCGTAACTCCTTTGGTGTTGCGGGTGTCCTGGGCGGCGCCGATTGCTTACCATCAGGTTATTCCAAGAAATTCCAAAGAATTAAGCACATACAATAAACTTACCACCTCTTTATACTAACTATCTTCGTAATGCTGGCTGAACCTATCTAATCTAAATATATAAAACTCAAAGACTGATATAGTGATCTATCAACGCACAGCCCAAACCACTGGACGGATCGGACTGAAATTTGACATGCAGGTAGATGTTATGACGTAGGCATCCGCTAAGAAAGGATTTTGATTAATTTTACCCCCAAGGGGATAAAAAAGGAGATGAAGGTTTGTATGACACTTTGTCAGTTTTAAACCGATCATGCATTAAAGCTACTACTATAATGCCTACGTTATGCGTACCTATACCTAGGTAATTTATAAAAATATTTTTTACCGTGCGCGAAGCCACGGGCAAAAGCTATTATATAATATTATATGCGATATGTATATATCGGGTACAATTCCGAAACGGAGTTCTATCTAGTGGATGGAACTGTGAATTTTTCAAAAACCGAAAATACCCAATATTCTTTTGTCTGACTTAAAAATCACACTGTTTTGTAATTTGACAAATTCCAATACATTTTGAAGTGTGTTTGTGTTAGTGCACAACAAAAATCAAAACTTTCTTTAAAAAAAAACATTTTCTTCTTTTGTGGGTAGGTAATCATGACTGACTATAGTGACTGATGCTCCGCTAGAGATGGAACGAAACAATTACAGTAACATAATATTTGTTAAGAACAATATTCTTCTCGTAATGTATTTTAGTCAAGCTTTCCTTTTTGAGGGGAAAAATATCAAATCCTCCCGACTTGAGTTAAGCGAAAGGGAATGTCAGACTCTTACTGGCTAAAAACCACCCCGATTCATACATTATTGAACTTGCACCTGAAACCCCGGCTTTCAGCATCTGTAAAACACCTAAAATCGGACCCTCGTTATATCAGTAAAGGTTTAAAATTCAACGTAACGAGATTAACTATTTAAATTTAACGTTTCTTTTATTTTACAAATTCGTTTTAACTTTATCGAATTATTGTCAAGCGCTTTCCCAAATTATCTTGGTTGCAATTACTGTTGGATTTTGGACCGAATTTCCTTTTGATTTAAAGACTATTTGCAATTAACCTTTCAGATTTTTTTTTATTTTATTATACCTATTCGACCCGAAAGGTGCTAAAGTGGCGACCAAGGACCGGAAAACGTAGTGTGGGCCTCCCGCTAGGTGGACCGACGCCATCGTCAGAGTCGCGGGGAACCAAGGGATGCAGGTGGCAACTTGTCGTTCGACGTGGAGGGCTAAGGAGGAGGCCTTTTTTCAGCAGTGAACGCTTTCCGGCTGATGATGAAACCTATTATCTCATCCGCCTTCAATTCTTGAATTCCCAAAAAACCCATATCTCCAACGCACTTGCAACTACTCTGGTGTTACAGGTCTCCATGGGCCGCGCCGATTGCTTACCATCAGGTAATCTCTCTGCTCACTTGCCAACGTATCGCATAAAACATATCAAAGACTGTCGAACTCATTCTCGATTGATTACTCGCAAAATAATGTTAAGACGTCGTGGTGGCCCGGAGGTTAGGGAGCCCGCTTTTCATGCATGGGGGTATGGTTTCGAAACCTGGCAAGTACCAATGTGACTTTTTCCGAGTTATATGTACTTTCTATGATTATTTAGACACCACTGACATACGGTGAAGGTAAACATCGTGAGGAAACCTGAACTAATAATTTCTAATTATAAGTTTGAAATCGCCAACCCGCATTGAGCAAGCGTGGTGATTTACTGCTCTAACCTTCTCCATATGAGAAGAGGCCTTTGCTCAGCAGTGGGCATCTATACCTAGGCTGATGATGATGAACGATAAGCAGTGAAGTTGCGATTCGTGTCTTTACTTTTTAAGTTTTTCGATAACGAGCGAGAGTAACGAAATATTGATTCAAACATCTCAGATATCACTTAATTATGGGACCCATAATCCTTCCTTAGATCGCATACTCCTCCTTCACACCCCACACTCCTTCCTTTCACCCATAAACCCCCATCTCACCCCATGTACTTAACTAACAATTTGTAACCAATTACACGGATGCAAGATTTTACAATCTCAGCATTGTCTATCATTGTGAAATGGATTTTTAATAGAAATCCCTGGTCTTATAAATAGTCGCGTTGGTACTTTGTTGTAACAAAAAAAAATATTGTAGACATTTTTTTTAGAAACATTTTGGTGTGGGAGATCCATGCTTCGGCACGAATAGGTCAGCTCGACCGGAGTTATACCACGGCCTCACAGAAAACCGGCGTGAAACAACCACAGCGTTGTGTTTCGTCGTGTGAGTGAGGTTACCGGAGGCACATTCCTTCTTCCCCTCTCTCAATCTCTAAATTTTCGAAACCCTAATCTCCAAAATGTCAGTAACCCACTTGTTACTTCTCTGGACTTGTGGGGGTCCATGGGCGGCGCTGATTTGATAAATTTAATAAATTAGAAATTAATAAATTATTTTTCTTTCTTTCTTTCTTTTTTTGTTTGCTTACCATCAGGTAATTCGTCGTCGGTTCATTTTGCCGAACTATCACGTAAAAACAACAATCTGTCTGATTCAAGATGATGCCAGAATTTGGTTAAGAACATTCAATCTGCCAGACATCGTCAATACAAAAATGAATTCAAATTATATATTCTGCATAGATTCAAGTTAAAAATATTTTAGTTTCAAATAAAACACACATGCAATTAATAATCAAAATACAATTTTATTATAGCTATTTGAAATAATAAAAGATAACTACAACAGTATAAATAACGTTAATTTCTCTTTGGTTTTAATAACAATATAATTATAAATATTTATTATAAATATGTATAAATTAAACATTATATTTACGTGACTTATAAACCATTAACTTGTGTAATAAATTACGTACATATTTATACATATGTAAGTATATAATAATGAAAAATGTTACCACATTACAAAATCATATTCTATACGGAATTTTCGCCAATTCTATAATAATGCTGTATAAGAAAATTGGAATTACTTTTCAACAATTTCTATGTGGTCTATAATTTATTTATCGCAACATAATATCAAAACAAAGTCGTTTTCGCTATCCCTGTATCCTTATGTACCTACGCTTAAATAAATAAAAACTGCGCAACGAACTATAGAGCATTTTTTTAATATATAGATCGATTGAATTGGAAAATGTATATGTATAATAAGATTATATAACATACATAGTGAAGAAAGTAAGTATCACCATTGCATCCTTGCGAAGCCTAAAATCTGATTTTTCATTTGGCGCGGTGGCTTAATAGCCAGCTGCCGCACAATGTCCGACAGGAAACATTCCTGCTCGGAACAACTCTTAATGTGACCCATATATGTATTGTTTTTCGATTCTAGATGCCATATTGTGTTAAATTGTTTGTTTCTGAACTCACCCACGAAACTACTGATGTATCAAGTACTAACTGCTCTCTCCATAGGCTCCATTTAATCGTAGCGTGATGGTCTATAGCCTATAGCATTCAGAAACAGTAAAGTTGTAGTTATCTATTGTTGAAAGAATTTGGCGGCGACCAGCGGTTCCAAAGATTACCCCTTACATACAAACTTAAAAATGTTACCTCTTTATAATATTATTAGTATAGATAAAGTATAAATAAATAAACCCAAATGCCAACTGATCAAAGCCTCAAATATTCAAAAAAAGAATGTTAATAAAGCAAGATGGCGCATAACAACGATTTGCGCATTAATATTACAAATATCATAGTCGATCATAGTCAGAATTGGAACGTTTTTGTAGGGAAATAGCAGGCCTTCTACTATTTTATTCACAATAGTAGGTATCATTGATTTGCACGTGTTTTATA